TTTTCTAGGTAAGATAGTCAATGACAATGAGAATTTAATATGCTATAAAATTTATGTAGTACTAAGTCCTCATTAAGCTCTCCAAAAACACAACCAAACATGAACAAATCCTGCATATCAAGTTGCGTGAGTGACACGCGCAACCCAATCCGCGTCAATTACGCCAGCCTCCACAAGTGGCCGGAGTCCGATGCCGAGTTCGTGCGGTCGGCCGCCGGCCGAGGCGGCGCACGGCCGCGCAGCCGGGTGGTCGACGGCATTTCGTGCCGGCAGATGTACCTCCGGAGCTACACATTTACGAGGGAGGAGGAAGGGACGATTCCCGAGAAGGCCGTGAAGTGCTTTGCGAGGGTGAGGGAGAGGGCGGCGGCCGCTGCCGCTGCCGCCGGGAGGAGGACGGAGGAGGAGGTGGGGCTGAGGAGACGGCGGAGGAGAAGGAGGAGGAGGAGGAGGAGGATGGAAGGGCTGCCGGCGGCGGTTATTGGGAGGGTGAAGAGGCTGTCGTGTGGGGCGGTGTGCTCCGTTTTCCGGCGGCTGCTGTTTTGCGCCGCCAGCGTGGATGTTGTGGTGTGACTGTGTGAGCTATTTTTTTTTTTTTATTTGTTTTTTCACACATCTCTATCTTTTTTATTTTAATTTCCATTTTTTTTTTCCTCCATGTATGCATTTGGAGTGAATTTTAATTTGGAAAAAAATGGTTGTCCTTAATCCTTATCTTTTATCATGAATAACAATTTATTACAACCTATTCGTACTAGAGTGGTTAAATGAATCGAATTGTGAATGAACTTGGCTCGTTAAGACTCGATCTCGACTCGACTCATTTATCAGCTTATTTGATGAACGAACCAAGTTCATTTAAAGCTTGTTTGGACAATGAGTCAAGTTCAACTTGGCTCGAAAAGATAAATTTCTATATGATTTATATAATTTGGCTTTAGCTCGTTAAAGCTCAATTTTGCCCTCGTTAATATAGATAAACAAGCCAAACTAAAGCTTGATTATAAGTTCATTAAGGGCTCGAGCAGCATGAACTCAAACTCAACTTGACTTGTTTAAACTCTTACATGTGGTTTCACTGCAGCCTGGTGCAGTCATCGTGGTTTTATCGTTTGATTACACAGATATATACGCACACGAATGCGATGGTAAAATACACGGTGATTGCACTGCATGTACATGTCGGGTTGATTAACCTTGAATAACACACATCTACGTGGGTGTGTAAAATGTGCATGTGATATATCCAACAAAATAAGAGCAAAATCTTCGCTTCTAATCGCCCTCTTCGTATTCTTTACTATTGGATAACACACACCTATTGGGTATATGTGAGAATATGTGGCGTTCAACAAGAAAAATGATTGAAAACTGTTGCATACACTTAGACATGTCCACGGGCCCTCCAACACACGGGCTGAACTGAATTGTACTAATTAAAAGTTTTAAAAAACACATAAAAAAACCATGTTTCCTATTCTCTAAATGAATCTTAAAAGTGCTGGAGTTCAACTAATTTGAAAGTCGAGTCGAGCTCATGAGCGGCTCATTTTGTTTCCAGCTACACTTTCGACATTTTTTTCGAAGAAAATAGTGGACAAGAGAACGATTAATTTTTGAGAAATTAAGGATTTTCCAATGATTTTTTTTTTTTATTTTTTATTGCAGCATTTATTCAAAAGCAAAATCAATTTGTTCATTGATGTAATATCTCAAACAACCAATAAGACATTGATGGGGAGATATTATTCCTTGGGACTGCTGAGTGCTGAAGATTAAAATTTTTCACAAGTGTAAATTTGTGTATAATAATAAAAGATAAAGTGGCAAAAGATAACAAAGTGGTCTGGAAATAGTTGCTAATCACCGCAATCAATGGACATATTCATCATTATAAATTGGTGAATAATAGATTATTGTTTATTTATATTTGTGTTATAAAATTACAAATTGCCCAACTGATCTAACTCTTATGATACACCACATAAGAATTTGTTTTGATAAACCTTGTCATATTTTTTAAATTAAAAAAAAAAAGTAGCACATATATCGATTTATTTTTGAAGGATTACTGATAATATTCGTTCAACTAATAACAGTTACAACAGTGATCATCAATATGATTTTTTTTTTCCTTTCGAAATGATAAATTCATTAACGCAAACATGTAATTACATCCGACTAAATAGCCAGAAAAGTGATCACCAATATGATTTATTTACACAATATTGTATCTTCACAAAAAATAATTAATGTATTTTTTTTTTTTAATTATAGCTTGTACATGAATAGTACTTTAGGCCCCGATTCTTTCCGGGCTTCTTTTCCAAATGTAAAGTAATGTGGACTCATTGAGAATGAGCTAAATAATTTCAACAATATGGGCCGTTTAATTGGACCAAATTTGAAATTTCAAGTTGGGCCGTTGTTGGATTTTAGACGGTAAATATATATATTTTTTTACATAGTTATATAGGGAATTGCCTACAAAGTTGAGTTACAATTTATAAATAAAATTTTGGCCACAAAATTCAATTTGAAACCTAAATAAGATTAGTAATTCTTTAGGAAAACTTACTCACAAAGGACCAATTGCATTTCAAATTTCAAAAATACCACCCATGAGGTTCAGCTACAAAATTGCACTCTCAGCTCAGGAGGGGTTATTTGTTGGAAAATGCTAACCCAAGGGATTGTTTTGCAATTACCAAAATAATAGTAGCAATGGTCGGATAAGTCGAAATTTTACGTTTTATCTTTCTACCTTTACGAACTTTTCCTCACGGTACAAAGCAGTAAATGACGTTATTTTATACACGTGACATTTACTAGTGAAAAGAGTCGATAATTCGAGCAAAATATTCGAATTAAAGTTACTATTCGATGATTATGTATATGAAGGTCTAAGTATAGGCCACAAGGACCACTCAATGCAATTTTGCAATTGAAAGCAAGAAACTTATTACATCTCAAAAACTTCTCTAAAGTAACATAATATGGGGTATACCACAGCAAACTTGTTCAGATGACATGTGAATAGTCTGGTGTAAAATGACCAAGTGGTCCTTGTGCAGTTAATCTTTCATTCTCTTTTCTTCTCTTTTTTTTGGGGTGAAAATGGAATTTGGTCAAGTTTGTATGAATGCATGTTTGTTTATTGAATTTCTTCTTCTGCAGGCATTTTTATTAGACAGCATAAATGTTCATTAAATCTGTGTGCTCTTTTGTGTGGGTTGCAATGAATAATGCAGATCATTGTCTGTTTCATTTATATTTCAATTGCACCGTACACAAATGTACTTTAATTAAAAAAATGTATGTTTATACTATGAAATAACATACTTTTTTTTTATTACATTTGAAAGTATGACACTGAAGCAGTGTTTTTCAAACTGTACCGGCCCGGCGGGTCGACCTGCGACCCGAGACCCAGAGCCGGAACCAGTTCGGGTGGGCTATTTGGACCGGGCAACAAAGAACCCGACCAACCTGGCCTTGACTCGGTCGACCCGGGGCATTGATCCGACTGGCCAACCCGGTTGACCCGCTCCATATATATATTTATTTATATTTTTTTTTTTTTTTTGTTTCTAAACAATAAAACTATGTATATATATTTATATGGTAAATATTTATCACGAAATACATATTATTACTACTTTAATCTACAAATTTTACATACAAAACATTTAATTTTATTACTTTTATGTATATTTATACGACAAAATACTCTATATGTGTAATTTTAAAAATTTTAAAATTAATTATTCAATTCAACAATTGATCTGGTGATTATGCGGTTGAACCTGTGACACGTACACCTGACCGGGTCAATTACCGGGTCGGGTTTAAAAACTATGCACTGAAGTATAAAAAGTATGTACACTTGTACAAAAAGAATATAATTGTCTAACCATTAGACAATTTAACAGAAGAATTTACCATATTTCATACGGATAGATCACAAAGGTTGTCAGTCGATCAAACGAGTCGTAAATTAGACGATGTATGTTACTTAAATCGACAATCATATCGAGGCGTAAATTTAGATGATGTATGTTATTTTTAATTGACAATCATATTTTTTTGAATGAAATTGTATAATTCTATAATTTATGGTGGAATTCCAAAACTAATTAAATTGGCAAAATAACATGTAAAAATTAAAAAGAAAAGTATGTCCATGTTTTGACTATGGCTATGCTTGGTAAAACTAGTTGATAGGCTAACTTATAGGTTATCAGTATTTTTTTTTAGCTTATAGCTTATAATATATGACTTTTAGTTGAAAAACTAGCTTATATGATAAAAGTGTTTGGTAAAATCAGCTGATAAGTTAGTTGGAATAAAAAATTCAACTAGCTTATTTGAAAAGCTATCTGAAGAAGCTAATCAAATAATCTCGAGCTTTTTAAAAAAGCTCTTCATAGCAAACGAGACTTATTTAAATACAGGGAATTTATAAGCTAACTAAATAAACTATAAGCTAACTTATTTGTCTACCAAATATAGCTTACGTCAATTAGTAGATCCCAACAAAACTTTATATCTATTGCATTTTAGAAAATTTATTCATAATACTCCCTCCTATTTTTTTTAAATGTCATTCTAGCTTTATCAACTATTTACTAAATAAATGTCGTTTTGGATATTTTGTACATATTTTTCCATTATATCATCATTTAGTTAATAAATACATTACGTCTTTTCATATTCACTCTTTACTTTTTCTCAAAACATTCATCTCTATCTTCATTAAATAAGGATATTATTGACAAAAAAAATATTCTTAATTAATGTGCAACTTCTCAAAATGACATCTATTAAAAATAGGAGGTAGTATAACTCAGGGGGCAGAAAACCAGTTTTTGAGGAATGGGCTGGTTTCCAAATTATTATTATTTTTTTAATATGATTTTATAATTTATTTATTTTTTTTGTTGCAGTGAAAATGCTGTGGATAATTGCAGTAGGGGATGTAATGTGTCAGCATTATTTAATTCTCAATTTCAATGAAAACTAATGATTTTTGTCTGTGTTTTATTTATTTTATTTTTAATTCATACAGAAAATTCCATGTCCTATAAATAACCTAAGCAAATCCACTAAGATCTGCAAAGATTACAATAATGATAGTGATGTCCATGGAATCTCTTGAATCACAAAATTTAATAATAACATGTTTAATTAGCAAAATTTGTATCTTAGCTAATCAAGATAAATTTTTTTAAATCACAATCTTGTACCTAATTCAAAACAGGCTATTATATATTTTTTATCCAATAAGCCACCAGTCCACATTATCAATGGTGCTACCTTTGGTAGACATATTGTTTTGCTGCCCTCACATTTTAGGTATAATTGCTGGTTCACTATTGTGTATGTTTCAACTTTACACCAATCTTCTTTCATTAAATTATTACTGAGAATATTACATACATTGCACTTAGATTCTTCAATCAATTAAATCTATGGTAACTAAATAATAAAATTGAGGACAAAAAAAAATCCTCAATTTTAACTTTATATAAGAAACCCTCTTTCTTTTTTTTTTTGGTACAAAAAATGAGGTCAGGGGCCTAGGAAGAGTATGAGGCGAGAACTCGTCGAGGATAAGACACCCCGATAAGATCATGGTCTAGCCATGCTCCCAATCGTAGTGGAGCCATAAGATGCACCTCAATCGTAGACAAAGACGCCAAACTCGCCATATGGTCGGCCGCACAATTAGCTTCCTTATGCACGTGTTGGATCCTTACTCGCCAGTACTTTGAAACCGAGCTACAAATGGCCTAGGCCAATGCATCATTAGTTCCAAACCTATCGTCGGGCTCAAGGATCATTCTTGTCACGCGTAGACTATCAACCTCGGGGATGACTTGGCGGAATCCCAAGTCCCAAGTCAATTTTAATCCTTGAAAAAGACCCTAGAGCTCGACACCCGTGATTATGGTATATCAAATGTTCATGAGGAATCCCTAATGTTCATGAGGAATCCCTGAATCCATCGACCCGATTCATCACGATGAAAACCGCCAGCACTACTTCGATCCGTGATGGTCTTAACAGCTTTGTCGAAAAACCCTCTCATCTTTTACAACATGTTATTCGGTTAATTTCTCTCTACCTTTGTGGGTAAGGTTTAAACGAGATTTATTGATGTTGGATCAATACAAAACCATATGATATGAGTATACGTGTGTAATCTAATGATGATAAACCATGTGTCAGCATTAGGATCGAACCTACCAAATTATCTGACTAGTTAATTTCACTTTGTATGATAGACGTCCTCAAGAGGTGGATAATTTGTAGAACTGTTAAACGAAACAATAAGCTTGTGACCTTAGCTTACTAATAATCAAGTTCTACTCAACTCGTTAAGACCCAAGTTCTAACACGATCAAAGTTTGTTTTTGTTAATGAGCAGTTGAACTCATTAAACTCGAAGATATGAATTTTTATAATAAATTATATAACACGGTTCGAACTTGTCCCATTAGTATTCATAAAATAAACTAAGTTTGAGCTCATTTATCAACTGGTCAATAAGGCTTGAGTATGAAAAGCTCATTCGACTCGACTTATTTACATCTCTAGTTGTATTTATACGGAAACTAAAATTGTTAATTTCCCACTTTACCCAAAAACTAGATCAGTATGTAATTATGCCCAAGTTGAGGGGTGGGGCTCTATAATTACCCTAAAGTTTTTATTTTATTTTATTTTTCATTTTTTTGTGTAAAAAAAAGTTCCCTTTATAAATGAAATAGACCTCACTCTATAAACTGCATTTCTTCATGCTCTCCATTTCAAAATCATCTCTTTTTCAAGTTTAACACACACACACACACACACACACACACACACACACACACACAATGTCCTCAAATTTTGCACTGCAAAATCATGCAAATTTAGAAGATTGTTACATAGACATGGAGATAACAACAACCTCATCACCACCCAAAAACACAGAATTCGAGTTCCAAATGCCATTCTCTTGCAGCGACGACAAAAAGACACCGGAAAACAAAACTTCGCCGGCCGACGAGCTTTTCTACCGGGGAAAACTCCTCCCCCTCCACCACCCGCCACGTCAGCAGCCGGCCGAGGGCCTCGCGGTGGAAATTTCGGATATGCCCTCCCAACGCTCGAAATCCCCTTTACCGGAATCTTGCTTCCGGCGGCCGAGCTCCGACGGAATTCTCCGCCAAGATTGCGACTTTTTCGAATTTCCCGGCGAGTTAGGCCGGTTTACCGATAACCTTCGGCCGGCGAAAAAGCCACCGTCCGACAGCCTCAAGCTCGTCAAAAGGTCCCCAATTGCTTATCTGAAATCGCTCTTCGCAAAATCTGCTTGCGATTTCTCGTGGGGAGGTCGTAAATTGTCCAAAGGCGAGGCCCTTTTGAGCAAATTCTTCAAGATTCCTAAAAGGGCCCGTTTTTCTGGGGGCACTGACTACAGCGGTGGCCGGAAATCGTTTTCCGGTGCCGTCAGAAGGCATTCTCCGACAAAGTGCTTCTCTTCGTCTTCATCGAATTCAGCTTCGTCCTCGTGTTCGTCCTTCTCGTTGAGATCCAACGGCCAGGTCGAGCTGGGATCTTCTTTCAGGATGAGCAACTGTGCGGATGAGATTGAGGCCTCGATCGATGCCGCCATTGCCCACTGCAAAAGGTCTCTGCAGATTTATGAGGCGGCGGATTTAAGTGGAGCCGATGAAGATGGCAAAGGGACAGTCTCTTTGTAGGATTTGCCATTTATTTCTTTATTGCAATTTTAATTTTGGGAGATTCTATAGTCCCTTACGGAACCATTTCGTCCGGGTTTGTAACCGTTAGATCAACTATCCACGATGATTACATGATGATCTAACGGTTACAAATTACGACGGAATGGTTCCGTAGCGAGACTATAGCATTCCCCTTTGAATTTTACGTATCTATTGTTTACTTTTGGGGAGCAATTACAATAATAGTCATGTCATTTGATTGTATACTACTTTGTTGAGTGGAATTTGGACCAATTAGATGTTGAAAAATGATATTTGATATACAATGGTGGACACATATTAATATATCAATCGCTTATGTGGCATGCATACATTGGTGATGTATTTTTTTGAACATATTGACATCATTAATGTGTGCATGCCACATAAGCAGTAGACATATTAACATGTGTCCACCATGAATAGAGGAGCATTACCCGTATGATATATTAAAATCTATAATATTATACCTAAGAGCGCTTGGATGAGATGGCTTAGGTCTCTTCCATCTTAACCAGTGGTCTCGTGTTCGAGCCCTAAGAATGCAGCAGTGTTAAAACTCTTGAGGGAGAGCTTTGCCACCCTTGTGGTCCTACCCGGCTCGATTCCGGATTAGTCGATTCCCCTGTGTATCCGGAAACCGGAAGGTCCCTGTACTAAAAAAAATCTATAATATTATTATTGGTAAGTAGCTATTTAAAATATTTTTTTTGAATGCATAAAGTTAAATTATGGAAAAGCTTAATATATGTTGTACCGAAAAAAAAAAAAGCTTAATATATGAGTTTATTTGATTCTTAAATATGATTAATACTTTAGTTATTTTTACTATCAAACATGTAATTATTTACCAAACATTTTGCACTAATTCAATTACTTTGTCAAATCTTTTAATTAAATTAGTTATATGCTATCAATTAAGTTGCGTAATAGTAAGACGTTTAATTTATATTAGACATTTAGGGCTTGATTGTTTATGAAATAAGTTGTTCAAAATGAATTATTTTGGTTACCCATAGTTAATTTGAAAAAGGTGTATGGTTAGTTGTTAGTGGAATTTTAAAAATGTATTAAAATAATATTTAAAATAAAATAATTAAAATTGATTTGATGTAAAAGTAAGAGATAAATGATTGGAAATGATTAAAAATGATAGATAGGTAAAATTATGTGAGTGAATGAATAGTGAATTAAAGTTGATGTGATGTGTAAGAATGATTGTTTTGTATTATTTAATTATATGAATAATATTAAAGATAGTGGCCCCAACTCCGAAATTCTCGCAAAAGTTGAGTTAAAGTTGAGTTAAATTTTGAGTTGAAATAAAAGTGAGTAAAATATTTGGTAAACAATCAAGCCCTTAATTTTTAGTTATTTTACTATCAAACTTGTAAGAATAATGCTATAGATATATAATATTGTACATAGGGGTGTACATCACACTCACATTGAGTGAGACCCACTAAAAATAAAAAATTAAGTAGACCTCACTCCATGTGAGTATTATGTACATCTCTATGTACATTTATTATGTACATGTAGCATTTTCCAACTTGCAATTATTTAATACATTAAGTTGCGTAATAGTTAGACATTTGAATATATACTTTAGTAATAGTATATATATATATCCTCCCTATATATAATTCACGAATGCGTTGAGCCTACGTAATTAGGTTTGGATAAATAATATTGATATATTAATAATTAATAATCTAGGTTTGGGTATTCCATAAATATTATTTAGCTAACTTAGGTATTTTAATATCACTTTTACAAATATAACCCTTTAATTCTTTGTAATTTTACATATTGAGGCACTAAGTGACTAATATATCCCTTAATTTTGATTTGTTTCCTTCAATAAGCTATTGAATTATAAATGTATTTTAAAAGTTGATAACTTTTGTATTTCTTATCGGTTTTACATATATAATATATCAAATTAATCATCTTTTAATGATCTTCGATTTGACATCCATATTGTATATATGAAATAAATAAATTATATTTATCTTTATAATGATAAAAAATAATAATATTTATTAAAATTCATTAGAAAAATAAAATTATTTCTCAATTGATATACTTATATGTAATGTAGTTACATATTGTAAGTTAAAAAAAATAGTATAATATAACACAAGTAAGTTGCACAAATAAAAAGTGTCACAATAAATATATAATAATATATATATATATATTCTTATAAAAGGTATTTAAATTTTCAAACTACCTTTTCTCATTAATTTTAGATTTTAAGAAAAAAAATTAGCAAGTACCCGTGTAATACACGGGTGTTGTACTAGTTTATACTATAAAACATCATAGTTTTATTTTTATTAATTTTTTTAATATAAAAAAATTGAGTATCGATATATGTAAAATTATTTAAAATCATATGAATGTCTAATATGAAATTTGAGTATAGATCTGTGTAAAATTGTTTAAAAACATACGAATGTCTAACTATTAGACAACCTAACAACAAATTACTGATTTTTTTATTTTACAAAATTCATGCACACAGCTAGACGATTGTTACACAGCTATTCTTTTTCAACAAAATCGATAGAAAATTATTCATTATCGACAAATATTTATACTTTCCTACTAATAATGTAAACAAATAATATTATATCTTGTATTATTAGTAGACATTTTTATTTACATAGTTCTATCAATATATGTCTATTACCACCACCAACAGAGGTTGGCTCAAGTGGTAAGCAGCTTGATGTCGCTTAAGGAAAGTCTCGGGTTCGAGTCCTTGTGGATGCAGAAAACCCTTGTTGGGAGACTCATCCATCACTGCTAGGTGCGCGACCCGGGTCGACCAACGCATTAGTCGGAGCATAGTTGAGGATGAGATTTGTGAAATAGAGCATTTCATGTAAATAGGCTAAACTCAAGGGCACTAATTGAAAATTATTAGTTATTACCTCTTTTTCATGAGGAGTCCGTTCGGGGACATCCGATAAAATTGAAACGATACAGAGAAGATTAGCATGGTCCCTGCGCAAGGATGACACACATAAATCGAGAAATGGTACCTCTTTTTCATGAGAATATGATGAATTTGATGAGATGGCAAAAGCAGGACAACTTTCATATCTGGCAAAAGGTTTTGGGCATTATATTATGATTAATAATCTAATGTTATTTGCATAATTTCAACTTTATGCTTTTATTACCCTATAACATGCATGTTTTAAAGCTACTGATATATATATTAAAACCCTTATTATAGGACATGATTAAGCCATTAAGGTCACTTTTATTTATTTTTTTCCTAGTGAAATTCATAATCATGCATCTCTTTTATAAGGACTAAACAAAAACATAGGGTTTAAAGGGCAACAAAAAGAAAAGGAAAATATTTCAAACTTTTAAGAGATGAAAGAAGTCAGAAGACTACAAAACAAACAACTTTCACAAACACAAACACAAACACACAAAAAAAAAAAAAAAAAA